TACTGCTATAATATAATCCTTATTTTCAAATATTATCAAAAAAAATTTTATTTAAATATGTTAAAATTTAAAAAAAATAGATCATAACTATATTTATAATAATTTTCCAGGCAAATTTGTCTGGAAAAGCTTACAGTTTAAGAGATAATATTTTTTATAATTTAGTTTTTTCTATTGTTAACTAAAGGATCATTAAAAAGAGTTGTTTTTTAAACTTTTTACTAAATAAAAAATTAATCCAAATTAGAAAAATCTAAACAGTACATTCATGCACTCATATAGAGCACTGAGTATATGGGGACACTAATTAGTTATATCCTTAAAATTATATAAAAAAAATTTTTTAAAGAAAAAATTTTGTATATCTTTAACTAATTTTTATTTAGTAAAAAGTTCGAAAAAATAAACTTAGCAAGGCATACAATATATAAAATTATACCAAACAAGTTTGCTTAAGAGGTTGAAACAAATTGTTTTAATTAAAAAAATTTTACTAAAAATTTAACTTTTGTATATAGCAAACGTTTTATTTTACTAAGATAACCTATGTTCATTTTCTAAATAAACTTTGTTTAGCATAAAATTTTATATATAATTATGATTTTACAATTAAAAAATTCTTTTCATAAATTTTTTAAAAAAAAATTCCAAATAAATACAGTAATCTTAATCTACTATTTTCAATATGCTTAATCCCAAAATTTGAAAATAAGTTAATTTGTAAGTTGAAAATAATGTGGAGCTTAAAGTTTATAATGAATTTGTTTTTATTATAATTTTTATTATAAACTAACACAACAGGCGTGACTCCCTGACTGATATATATAACCAAGTAATATTTCTGTATCTATAGTACGTACCTATAGTACGTATATGGGTATCTTATATTAAAAAAGCCCATTTTGGCATATAAACAATTTCGAGTAAATCAAATTTAAAATTGAGTTTAAATGTCTTCAAATAGAAACATAATTTTTATATTAAATTCATTTGTGAATCTTTTTTATTATATAATAATTAACTTCTATTATCTATGGCAAGCCTTTTAGTTATAACTATTGTCCAAACAGGTTGTATCTGAAATTTTGTCCCAAATTCCAGTTAATACCCTAAAAGTTACAAAATCCCAAACTAGTTAGGTTTAGACGGTAACTATAAATACGAGGCACCCATATTCTAAAACTTCTTGTATGTAATATTCTATTCAGCAAGTTAATAGTTTCTACCTATATCAATAGTAATAATTATGCTTAATTTAAATAATTACATTAGAAGATTAAACAATCTGTAGACATGTTGATATAATCTTATCATTATGCGACTTTTATAAGCTAATTCCGGACTGGATTTGATCAACTTATGTTACAACATTATAGTCCTCACTCCACCAAACTCGCCGATCTTATAAGGAAACTCGCTACCAGGGCATGAAATAAACATAAGAGACTATAAATGTAAAGACAGTAATATATAAAAAAAAAATTATTTTTATAATGCGTAAATAACACCATATGAATATAGTTAAATATGAACATACCTTTGGAATTCGGAAGTGCTGTGAAATACAATCCACAGTTTTAGGATTAAATACTCCTTGAATGAAAATCTATAAAAGTAGTTAGCCTTAAATTATAACGTATTTATACATTAATAAATTATTACCAAATCAATTTGTATCTTTGGATATAACTGTAAGTTGGATAATTGATACGCGGAAAAAGTTAAAACTGATCGATGATGTTAAATACTACAAAAGAGAGAATGCATACCTCATCAAGGACACGATGGTTTGCCTCAAGTCGTGGAGGTATCTTAATTGAAGTAAGGAAATATAAGATATTGAACAGTAACATAAAGAAGTGAGAGAAGTGAGATCACACGTTCTCAATTGGCATACTTACATCTTCGATCTTGTCATAAATATGAATCAATTTCAAATATCCAGTAGATTCCGAATTTTTGACATATAAAATAGCTAAGTGGAAAACAGACGAAAACCAAATGTTTATAAGAAATGTGTTAAATAGATGAATTAAGTATTAAAACATGAATATACCTTTATTAAGAATATGAAGTTCATCAGTTTTGGTAAAAAATACAACAGGTTGTTTTTTCAACTTTTTGATTAATCTTATAATCATATCATCTAATTTATATTTATGCAACATTATGGTTTTATCCAAGTAGAAGAAAATTGTTTTTAGAAACCAAACTCTGTTCAACATAAGCCACATGATAATAAATAAGATTCCAAAGTAAATTGCAAAGTATTCAGCTATGGATGGGTTGTAAACTATATTTCCTACTAGCCCACTCAAGATACATGCAAGACCAAAGAGTGCAGTTCCAGTAGATACACGAATCTATGACACAATTTAGGAGAATTTCAACGATTAAAAATAAATAAATATACTATATTTATGAAATAAATAAAATTCTTACTGGTCGATATAATCTCCCACGTTTATACTTGAGAAAAATGTTCCCAATTGCAAACTTTTAAGGAAAGAGTAATTTAAATTATCAAATTTTGGGTGAAAAATAAAATTATCAAAATTTGTGTGAGGAATTAGAGCTTACCATGCATAGTACACTGAGAAATGATACAGCAAACACACCAGATAATGATGCCATATTACCGTTAACTATCGTGAATAGAGTTATACAAAAGATAAGAAAGCTTAAGATAATCCAATGATAAGTCCCAGTAAACCGATTTTTATTTAGCAAGAATTGAGGTAATATATTATCGGAAGCCATCCTAGAAATCAGTCCTGTGACACCAATGAATCCGGTCAATACGCCGGCACCTAATACGATAAATGCATCGACAACGATGAAAATTTTCAACCAATTTCCGGCAGCATAATCACCCAAAGTAGAAATTATGTCATTTTGATGCTCATTGAAAGTTGATAAGGGCATTAACGCTGTTGCAAAAAATGCAAGGGGAGCATTGAATACAAAAACCAACACCCACATATTTCGCATAGTCTTTGGAAAGACGCCAGGCTTTTGATCTTCGATGTAATTAGAAGACGTTTCAAAGCCAGTGATCCCTAAAAGTCCTACACATACACCATTAAAAATGTCAAGTAATGGATTTCCAGAGCCAGGATCTTTCCAATTCTCGATCAGTATACTATTTCCCTGGATAATCCATCGGACCAGACATGTAATCATCAATAGAGTCAATGTCAAACAATGAACAATGAAAATTATAAAAGCGACATTAGAAGATTCTCGAAGTCCTAAAGCCACAATACTAGCAAATAACACCATCATGCCAATAGTAAGCCAAAACATGACAGAATCAGACAAATTCAATGGTCTGGAGACATAAGATATAGCAGATGCAGCACTAACAACAGCTGTTGCAACATAATCTAATAAACTTAAAGCGGCAGCAACGGCAGCAAACCATTTTGGAGAAGTATTTAATAGACAATTGTAAGAGCCACCATTTAAAGGTAAGGCAGTGCCAACTTCGCTCATAATATCCTTGAATGGATAAAGGATGATCGAAATTATTAACAGTGATATGGGTGCGAATTTTCCAGCCACAGTTGTACATAATCCAATAGTATAAAGAACCGATGCAACAAGGTCATTTCCGGATATACTAGTGGCACGCCATTGACCGAGTAAAACACGTTTTGATTCTGAAGGCTCGGGAGAATTTAGTGGAAGATCGATATAATAGGTCGAACCCCATCTGTAAAATCGAGTTTTAAACGTATAAATCTTTGAAGTTATACTATAATAACTAAAATTGAACATACCCAGCAAATTCCCAAGCATTACTTAGGTTTGGAGTTCGAGACGGCGTTGAAGTAGTTTTTAACATTCCATTATCAAGAATTCCATTATCAGTAATTTGAATCCGATGAATTCGGGTAAAATTTTGTTCTTCAAGATATTTCTGCCTTTGAGACTCAGCAAAAGATGGAGGAGGATCGTTGAACGAATTGCTTGACATCGCTGAAAAAAGAAAAACACACGTTAACATGAATTATATTAATGTTTTTACACACCGAAATTATAATATACCTAGTTCACTTTGTGGTATAGAAGCAATTACTACATTATCGTTTTGTATTGGCACATTTTCCGCAGTCATTATTTGAATGTCCATGCTGGAATGGGTGAAGGTTGACGGCTCCCTTGCCATTACGAATCTCAATAAACCAACTAAGGGAGAGATGCAATTTATCGAATGATTTTTAATTTTTTTTTTTTAACTGGAAATTTTTAATTTATCCATATTGATATTTGTAATTATATCACGTATGTACAATATAATCATAACAATCATTAAGTGATACGTATTAACCTAATAAATGCCATTTCTGCATAAAAATTGACCGTCCGTTAATCTGAAAAGCTACGTAGCCAATATTGCAAAACAATTGTATAAATCATGTGATGAGGTATTTGCAATTTTTCTTGCTTTTGGTACTATTGCTATAAAAAGGACTTTTGTTTAGGTATTCCCGATTTGTTGAATGGAATAAACAAAGGACTGGCATAACGATAATCAATGGGGATATTATCTTTTAACGCTTGTGAAAGAATCCATTTCTAGAAACGCCTAACTTTAGTTGTGTCATTCCTTTTCTATAGATGAATTATGTAAAGACTCAAACCCAATTCCCAATTCCCCATTTGGACAGTCCAAAAATTCCAAGAAATACGGTGATGTTAAGTGGTCCCACGAGGACCTGACTTTTTGGGACCGTTCATAATTAGTCCAAATGCATTATATGATATGAACCGAATATCAAATAAAATTTAATAAAAAGTGAGTCATAAACAATACTTTTGGTATTTTTGCTTTAGGTTCGCAGTTAATATTCTATATTTATGTCTTTTATGTCTCAGTTATATCTCCACCTAAGTTATATATCCGAAAACTCCCTTGACAAAAGAAGTGATATACGTAACGGCAGTTTGACTGTATTATACATGTACGTACGTACGTACGCCAAAAAAAAAAAGAAGTCTATATGCATACAAATTTCAAAATTATCTGCATTGTATACAAACTTTTTAAGAAACACATCCCTAAATGATAATATTATATCAATGTCGGATTTCTTTGAGTTTGAGTTTGTGTTTAGTTATGCATGTTGAAATTATTGTATAACCATTGTGTTAGCGTTAGTACCCTAAGATTTAAAACAATAATGATTATCGTTTTATTTTTTTTAAACTTTGAGCAAAATATTTAAGGAGTAGTAATGTATTTTAACTATTCTAAACCTCAATTCTGACCTTTTTAAATTTTCTAGCTTTGTATTTAAATGTAATAACTTAATTTTTAGCAAATTAGCATATAATCTAGATGTAATAATTTTATTTTTAGCAATTTATATTGATTTTAGGAGTAGCAAAAACTCAAAATTTTATGTAGATCAATTATGACCTTTAAATAAAATGTCCGGGTCCTATTGCTATAGTATTCCCA